CAGGCAGACTGACCAACTGACAGGCAGACTGACCAACTGACAGGCAGACTGACCAACTGACAGGCAGACTGACCAACTGACAGGCAGACTGACCAACTGACAGGCAGACTGACCAACTGACAGGCAGACTGACCAACTGACAGGCAGACTGACCAACTGACAGGCAGACTGACCAACTGACAGGCAGACTGACCAACTGACAGGCAGACTGACCAACTAACAGGCAGACTGGCCAACTGACAGGCAGACTGACCAACTGACGGGCAGACTGGCCAACTGACAGGCAGACTGACCAACTGACAGGCAGACTGACCAACTGACAGGCAGACTGACCAACTGACAGGCAGACTGACCAACTGACAGGCAGATGGACAGACAAACTGACAGGCAGACGGACAAACTGACAGGCAGACGGACAAACTGACAGGCAGACGGACAAACTGTGTGGAAAGTATTGCATCTTCACCTTCAGTTTTTTTACAGGCTTGGTGGTACCGTAAAGGGATTATTGTAAGTAGCAAATAATAAGTTTATTCATTTCTCAATATTTATTCCTTTTTCCTATGTTATTGCTTTATCTAACTCTGTTCACTCATTTATACGTTTATCCCATTTAGTGTCCCATTTAAGGTGTCATTCAATCATTTGTCTCTTTTCTTCATCCATCCCTTGTTTCTTTATTTCACTCATTCATTCACTTTCGAATCAGTTATTGAAACTAAGTTAGTATCTTTGGCAGCCTGCTTGTCTAAAAGACTGTGAAAGACACTGTGGRTCAGTTCACTRAGTAGCRCAAGTTTTCACCTTGACAGAAAAACAYTGCYTTTTGTCATTTATTTGTCACTTTACCCTTTCATTCATTCATTTTCCCTTCYATCCTACTGATTCAATGTGTTYACTTTTGTATGTCYAGGAAGCTGACAAGAAAAGTTTCCTGGTTTTACTGGGTATTTGCATCATTTTTCAAGCCATTATTTCTGACATTTATGTCTACCATAAACCTGAAGTTCACTCAACACCAGTAATTATTGTCAAGCCAACAAAYGCAACAAGAATGTCTTCAATAGGGCCCACTCTATAAAGAAAAACGACAACTAGTGAACCAAGAAATTCACTTACTTGTATCATATGGTTCTTTCAACACCTTTAAGGTGCAAGACCAGTGTAGGTTTACATAATTAAGGTTTAAGTCTGGTTTACATGTACACAATGACATAAGCACAAGGAAAAAAAATGCATCAAGAAAACAATATGGTGTCTTTGCTTATGTCTCTAGCAATTTGAATCTAATTAGTTCAATTACTCAAATTGCTGTGCTTACGTTAATGTCTTATATCAAAGCCTTGACTTCATTCGTTTTTTCTTTCTTTGGTACTTATTCTTATGTCACCATGTGAACCAAGCTGAAATTTCTAAGTTGTACTGACAGTCAAACTTAATAGTTATATATAAGTGACTGCAAAAGCATTAAATTTAAATTTGTCATGAATTAAGATTATGATTTACTAAAAGAGAGGTAYAGAATTGTAAAAAAGAAAGAAACACAACTTACAAAATGTCTCAAAAAAACATTTCTCTTATTTGACGGGTTGTTCAAAGTGCCATTACCGTTAATCCAGGGTTATTGAATTCCATATGTTTTTTTGAGAGTCAAACCAATGTAAGCGCTATTCGATCTTTGAACAACCCGACCCTGTATCTTTAAGACGGTTGAATTTTTCCATTTGTATCAATGKTATTGCTTTAGATAATACATGTAAATATGATGAATTGTAATCTTTACGTGGATAAAATCATTGAAGTGATTGGCAAGTCCAAAAATATAGTGAATATTGAAAGAAGYGAGTGTTGTCTTTGTCAATTACTGGGTTTTGTTTCACGGTTTTTCCAAGTATTTTAGCACTAAATCCTACGATTAAAACGATTAATTGCGGGGCGTTATTAGTGTGAAAACTGCTCGTGTTAGGACTACGAAAATGTTGACGATAAATGAGCGCAAGCTCGTCTTCGTTCAGAAATATCGCAACTGGAAAACGCTATAGGGTGCAAATAGAATTATAGTTAATATCGAGGGGAATGGTTTGGAAACCTTCTGTAGTACTTATTTTGTACATCTTTTGTACGTATTTTGAGGTTGAATCAGTCAAGACTGACCGTGCACAACKTTTTTCTTRCGGACGATGGAAATTGCMAAACAAGTGAACATAAATACTCTATGAGATTATAAAATGAAACATTTCAATTTCAATATTGGCTAAACCTTTTGTGCAATTTGAAGCCGAAATAGACAAAAGAATAAGGTTCGCTCTGTTCATTCAGACGTGATGGTAAAATAATAGTTAAACAAAAGATTATGCACGGTTACACTTGGAAAAAAGTGCACCAAAACCTACAACAAAAGGCTTCCTAATTATTTCCCTCTACAAGATATGATAGAATAAAAAATATATCTCATATAAAACAATTTCACGGAAGCGTGCATGTGGTGATATGGTCACAGTGTTTAGCGAGGTTATATACGCCTTGCTTTGAAAATATTGGAATTTGAACTTATTTTTGACATAATTTCGTTTTTATCAGTTTTAGCGAATCACCATTATATTTCATTCTAGATTTTGGTTTTGATATGCATTACGAGTGGTCATTTACTTACAAAGTTTGTGTCTCGAGCCAAAAAACTGGTGAAAGATTTCGATCTGATGTCCGAGTAAGCGTTCATTTCTCAAACAGCAAAGGTAACAAATTTGGGCGGGTCTAGCAGGTTCTGAAAAAACACCCGTGAAATGGTACCTTATCAGGCCCTTAAACTTAAGTCAGAAAGTTATCTTTAAAGTTATTTTCTCTTAGTTTTTGCCAAGGATTTTGTAAATTTTCGTCTGACTTGAAACAAATCTGAGTTGTTTATCTGTGAATGTGAATGGCCGAAAAGTCCCGTTTGGGAAATCCTTACATAATGTGTTAACAAAAGCGAATGAATTTCTTGCTTGATAGGTAAAGTAAAACGTATTACATAATTGTACAAAAAAAAGGATGAAAAAAGCATATCGGTTCATTGAAACGTACCCGTCCATACTTATATAAAAAGCTAACCGAAATCTTCATACGTTACCGAAAAGCTCCGAAATCTCGACGAATTTGGACAAATCAGAAGTACATCTCATACAGTCAAGATGAAGAATTCTTTGATTTTGCTTCTTATAGTGAGTTGCTTGGTTGTGTTTGTTCATTGTAAGAGTAAGCACCAAGCTAATTCTAACCGCAACCTAAAGAAAGCCGAAAAGGTYTTTTATTCTGACAAGAAAAACGAGAAAAAGGAAGACAARCAACAAGCATCTGGAAGCTTCGATGGACTGAGTGGGACTGGMACTAACGTCGCCGGTGAGTTCATATAATTAAGAAAAAAAATAAAATAAAAAACAACTTGAAATCGCAACTATCAAAGGAAAGAGTACCAAACTAGATGGGAAGATAGCAAGTAGGAACCAGTTACCTGACAGGTATCGGTAATTAACCCGTGAAATTGATACGATTACAACCTATTAATTGGCGACAAATCGTTAATGAAATGGTTTTCTTGTACGTTTTGATAAGAATATGTCATTTGTATATGCCGCAACCCAAGAAATCACTGTTAGGATTGTTGCTGGAATGAAACTTTGATAGATTTAAGTRCTACATAATTGATTACTCTTTAAAAAAAACTTGTAAATTGTACAAAGTGAAGTGTACCATATTAACTATAAAAAAATCCTAAATTTAAAATCACTGCTCTACTGAACGATGTTATCTTGATCATTCACTTGCCCGGGGCGAACARGCGAACACAGTCCATCGTACACCCTGAAACAATGAAATTCATTTTGATTTTGATTYTTGTTGGGAGTTGCTTAGCTGTTTTAGTTCAGTGTAAGCCTAAAATTCAGTCAAATTCTGACAATGAAGGTCACAATATCGATTTATCTGACAAACRTGACAAAAGCGATGATAACGAAGAGGAATCTGGAAATGATTTGAACGAGAAYGGTAAGCAGATTTTCTAGGAAACCTATCAATCAATTCTAATTAGTGTTTAATTGTCAGACTAGAAACTGCAAAAAAAGAGTTTTAAAATCGCATGGAGAAGCGCAGAATAACTCACTTATATTGTATTTGAGATTTTTTGTKTTCATCATTTTTCATAGCAAAGTAACTAAGTCTGTTTTTTTAGATAATTAAGCTGTTCATTGCGTCAATAGGGTGCAGGGTGAATTGTTTTTTTCGAACGAAGTTTGCCGGACTGTAATCGTGTTTTGTTTCAATGACGTGGCGGGGGCTCAGTTTTTACCATATTATCGCCATATTCTTGAAGTAACATAATGACTCCTTATGATAAAATACACCGATAAGATAAAGCAACATTCAATATTCCACATTCAACATTCATGAACAAAATTATTTTAAAGAAGGGCCCCAGATTTGATTGTGAGATTGTCAAAAACGTAGCTCAAAATCCCTTCCCAGGAAAAAATTCGTACAAGAACAGACCCCGTCGGCTCCTCCTGAATTAACGGCTGCAAAGTTATTTTGACGAAAGGCCTTATGGGTCCTCTCGTCACTTTGGTCGTGTTGAGTGATCGAACCGTAACCATCTACTCGTAGCAGGCGTTCCTTGCTAGTTCTATTTTTAAGTCAGTGAAAAGAAAATATCTCTAGAGAAAAAAACAAACAAAGTAGCAACAGAAAAGAAAAAGAAGAAAATGAAATGAAAAGAAGAGAGACGAAAAGAAAAGAAAAGAAAACAAGAAACAAACCAACAAGAAACAAGTGAAAAAGAGATATTCCAGCAGCAGGACTCGAACTCAGGACTTTAACTTTAGTAGAAGACGTAACCCCCCCGGAATACATAAGAAATAATGAAAATAAAAAAAAAACTAAAAAGATGGGACGATTCCCCCGAGACATTCTATGAAGCTGAGGCGTCGAATCGGCTTACGTTACGGTTAGAGATTTCGGCTCTTCCACGCTATCCCGAGTGAACATAAAACTTAGTCTTAACCAAAAGGCCAGGGAGTGAGGGGGTAGCCGCCCACTAGAGCATACCTTTAGCTACCCTCTTAGACCATCGTACTATGAAGACACTTATAGATATCTAATGTCTAATTGGGATAGTCTATTCGGCGAAGTTCTATGCTAATATATGACGTCWCCAAAATCCTTAGGGAGCAGCGAGCCAATCAGAGCTCAGCTCAGAAATTAGCAAAGGATACAGGGTTTGCATAATCATTCTTCAGTGGAATTATTATTTGATGGGGGTGGGGTGGGTGCCGAGTGCTGGTTTGCGGCCGAATACCGATGTACTCGATGTACTGTGACGGCTTTCACCGAGCTGTTCAATTGTCGYTATTGTTTTCCAAATCATCACAGGAAAAGGTGAGTACAGTTCTTGTATCAGACAGACATCACTAGTATAAACATGTAGCACAACAAAAGTTTATCTTGAAATTCTTAACGTAAGTAGTTAACAGACCAGGCAGATACTATCCGTTGCCTGCAAAGATTTGCCGGGATCAGTCAACGGGAACACAATTGAAGACCTTCGAACATTACACTCGAACGTTCCACATTTTCGTTCTTGGTGATTTAAAAGTTTACAAATGGATTAATATTGATTATCATAATAMGAAATACTGAAATATCAGCAATCTTTGGGGTTTTATTGCAAAACTATAATCAGGCGAATAAGAGTAATTAATATGTAAAATACATTTTAAGTAATATATACAATATGAGCGGGCGATCTGTATGTAGTATACAACTCTCTTCATGGGCTATGATTTCTATTGTGTTTTGCCATATGAATATTAATGAGTTTTATAAATAAACTAAACATTTTATCGAAGAAAACATTAGAGAATTTGCACCGGTATCGCAAAGGTCGTGGGTTCGAATCCCGTTCAAAGTCAGATTTTTTTCTGGCTTCTTTTCCAGTAGTAGGCTGCATTCGCATTTCAATTTAGTTCTCTCCAACTACTGAAGGACATACATATATATTCGAGAATTTATCATGAGTTTATAAGTCAACAGATTTAGAAGCTGGTTTCTTTGACTACAGCTAACTTGAAGCTCTAAGAACTCCATGTCGTGGATAAGAATTCCTTTTCCGAATCTTTCAGAAGGATATGTTTACTGTAGGCACGGCGGGTACATGGCGACCGGCAACAGACCCCCAGGGGATGAATGATCAAYCATCACAATAGGTTTCTTGGCCCCTGGGAATCACCGCCTGGTGTGTATATATACAGCTTTATTTCAAAAAACTTTGTCGGGAAGAACGGCGAACGGTGATTGTCGAAGGGAGATTGCACGACCGAAAKGGACTATGGTTACACTGTTAATTGCACTTATTGCATTCACCTTTCATAGAAACACTGGAAAAATCGCGCACTTTAAAAGGTTGTAAATTTCATTTAAATGGAGACTAAATGGAGCCAATGTAAACCAGAGGCTATCTTTTAGTACAAATCAGCAAAATCCATGACTACTTTCGGTCGTGCAATCGTTGTTCGACAGTTGACRATCGCCATTTTATCCGACAACCTTTTTTGAAATATCTATATCMGCAACGTAATGGCTGATCGCCACTTGATGCTTCCAGTTCCTTGCAGCGTATACAGCTAATTAAGAAAACGTTGAATACTGAAGATAGTGTATTCAAAGAGCGAAATGCATCGTGGGGTCTTTCTTTCACCGTTCACCTTTCAAAAAGAGTTTTCAGAGTGCTATGCCAGGTCCGTGATGTGGTCAAACATTTCCAGGGAAAGCAATTAAAATTTGAATTGCCATTTTTAACGCAGCAAACTCGAAGTTTACTAAATCTCTCAATGGCCTGAGTCATATGCAGTCCTCGACTGCCTATTTTTTCGTAAAGTCGTGAAACATGCACCCGTGAAACAAATGCAATAATGTGTCAGTGATAAACCAGAGGGACAAAGAAAAACGTACAATTTTGAAAGAGCAATAGYGTTGTAGGCCAAAGAGTTYCGTGGATTTCTGAAGACTCCATAAATCAGTGAACTCTATAGTTATTACCTAATGTAGTATCTATTTCACGGTTTCATCTCATTCTACGAGTACTTTAAAAGCAGTTTCATGGGTTTTAATTTATCGATGCAGAGTCCAGCAAGTGTACCACAAGGATAATTCATTTAATTAAGAATAATGATCTCGGCTTTCTCGGCTTTTCTTTGTTTGAATGTTTTTCAGTCTGTTTCAAGGGTTTAATGTCTTTTCTTACTCAAAGAGTTTTATTTTGATGTTAGGTGAGCAAGATAACAACGATGAGGATGAAATCGCTTCTGGTGAGTGGTTGTRCTGTTTTTGTACCTTTTTAGTACATATCCGTAGCCTGCATTATTGTTGGTCAGCAATTTAAAGCACCAGACATATAATTATATAATTATATTTATACTCAACAGGAAGTGGCGAAGATCTTAATAAACGTAAACAAGGTACTGGAAAACACACATAATATGTTTTGTACGAAGACCAGATGTGGATACAAAGGGGAGGTTACTGGGTTAACGATMTGCAGGTTTATGTTCTCCATAATTCAGAAACCAACACCAACACAAAATCACTGGDAAAAAAATCGCGCGCTTTAAAGGTTGTAAATTTGATGTAAATATGATGTAAGTGTCCAAACTTCCGTAAATTTCATGATGTAAATCATTTACATYAAATTTACAGAATTTTGGACACTTACATCATATTTACATTAAATTTACAACCTTTAAAGYGCGCGATTTTTCCCAGTGAATTTATACATGTGGTCCCCCTCTCCCTCTCCCCTCCCCCCTCAAAACTTCTGTGTCCTCCTCCAAAATATATATCACATGAATATATCCATATACATCATGGACCATCAGAAGTACAAAATCTGGGACCATCCATATTTTACCATGTATTTTACAGTTCAACCCGAGGAACAGCTGGATTCTGGATGTAAATGCGAAGGCCTTACATGTGAATGTTGYGGAGAAGCTCCTGTTATTGGAGAAGGTATATCTCAAAGAAACACACACACACACACAAACAACTGTTTTTAATGAATATGTTTTTTCCTACAGTGTGCGTGGACGCAAGAGCGATGAAGAAAGGAAAAGATAATGTACATTGACATATAAATACTAACAGCATATATAGAACTTAATAGTATATTATATTTTAGTATTACCATACAAGTGAACTATTGCAAACCCTTCATTCTGATTGGCTACGCTACTCGAGGTCTATTTTCAATGGTCCTCGACTAGCGAAAAGCACAACTTTTTGCGTATTTTTAGCAATAAAAACATTTAGTTGTTTATATATTTTATTCTTTTTTGTCCAACAAGTATGGTAATACTAAAACATGGGCTATCAGCTCGTAGCACAATTTTTGTGAAGCAATGAGACACTAGAATTTGGTTACATTACGATTACGGTACCGTCCGTTTCCCACTCATACGAAATTGACCCCTTTTTCGTGTTTTCCCAACATCCCACGTTTATTTCACCAGGAATGCACGGAAATGTGTTGTTTATTGCTTAAATAATCAAAGGATGCAGAGATTTATCTATCTATCTAAACGTACTTAATACGGGTTAACTTTATCCATCTGAGGCCGGTTATACGAGTCTAGGAGAAGTTATCTAGTTAATGGATAAAGTTATCCATTCCGTAGATTAGATTTTTATAGGGATTTTAATCTATAAAGCATCTTTCCTTTCAGGTCCTGAAGGCTGCAATAGTTCGTAACGGAAAAGACGTCAAGAGCATCGAGAAAAAATGTATGGTAACCATAGGCCATATGAAAAAGGGCGTGGCTATYKTAACGCTTGAGTTTATAAGTTGTATAGCATATCATTACTACTCGTTGAAAGAACTTATYATAATGAGTGATATCTGAAAGTTTCAATGCTCTTACATTTAAGGACCAGAAATTACAGGTGTTTGAAATTGTAAATGATTGAGTGAAAATCAGTAGTATTGAGGCCTTACCAGCCTCGTTTTCACGTTTTTAGTACGTTTTAAGTCCTCRTAGCTCTGCCGATATTTTACCATTTGAAAGTAAAAATACGCCAAATCACTAGTTATATACTCTTTTTTATCGTGAAAACAGAATGTTAAAAACATGGACCGTTTAAGGTGCTCATTCCCAGTCTTTTGCTCGTTTTTCATACGGTCAATGACTATRGACTTCTGATGGTGACGTCAGTACTGCTGTCGATGACGTCATTATAAGACCACAGGGTAACCAACACTCACAAACTAACCAGTATTCTTCGTTTGCAATATACGTCACAGCCGCCATCTTGGTTGAACTTCAACAAAGGATTTCTAATTAGTATCTATTGTTCATTCAACCAACATGGCCGGCGGTCTTTTATCTTTTGAATCTCATGAGGATGATTGAAAACGAGCAATTGTTTGTTTCTATTACAGTGAAAGACCCCACAGAATTCTGTCTTAAACTAGGAAAGGCTAAAGGTTGTGTTATTCTCCACGATATTTCGCTTGATGACAATAAGTTCAAAGGCTGCGTCACCGTTACTGCCAAAGCTAAAATCTTCGGTAAAGAATTCGATAAGAAATTCAAACTCGGCTGCTTTGGACAAGATGTCAAAGATTTGGCTCCCCAACAAGATGAAGATGTTCCAATCCGTTTAAGACATGGAAAATGGCTTAAAAGAAAGCAAAATATCCCAGCAAAGCAATAAAGACAAACATAACACAGGCATCCTAGCTATAAATGTCTTACATGTAAAAAAACCCCAGACAAATAAACAAAGCTTAGAATGAAAAAGACGCGCATTTGATCGTCTACCAAGCGGAGCAAGCTGTGAGATCTCTCCCTGASGATTGAGCKWGATAGACCCACTAGATGGTTCTAGTTTTTGCCGTGTATTTATTAGAAACATCTTTTAACATATTCTCGGAATTTTATTCTATTACCAATTACCCACAATCACTTGCCGTCCTACAATGTTATTTTATACAATARCATTTCGACAACCTTTTTCGACATTTTTGTTCATAATAAGCAAATCTTCCATCATTACAGAGATTCATCGGTAACTTTACACTTCATCGCATCATAGCACTATGTAACTCTGTCATTAAAAAAAAAATGTGTAAAAATGTGTACAATGGAACTAAAGAAAGGTTGGACATTAATTCAAAGCACAGGCGAGCTGAACATAATTTCTCAGTTCTAGAATTCGGATTTCAATTAGGTGGTACTGATTATAAACCATAAGACGGCGGAATAAACTAGTTTCGTATTTACCCGACCGAGCAAGCGTATGGRGTGGGTACCAAACTTGGGCTTGTAGCTYTGACAGGTTCAACCCGTGAAATTAAATCGTTTACTATCTGTCACATTGGCGTTTAAAAGCAATTAAATAAATTTATAGTTTATCGAACTTTTTTGCTAAGAATGTTATGAATATTCACACCCCCAGAATCGTTAGAGGTATCAGCGAAAGCATTTGTTTCTAGAAATTAACAATTTTCCATTTGAAGGTATTGCATTATTGAAAGCGTTCACAAAAAAAAAAAAGAATTTCAAAAAGGATACCGATGCATTGAAACGTACCATCTATCTACCTATATACATGCTTAAAAAATTCTGAATTCAAAATCGCTCTCAACTCTTGGACGAGCACAGCTTGATTCTCTTGTCAAACAGGTCTYCTGACTACTTAAGGCATTGCTAAAATGAAGTACATTTTCATTTTGCTCCTTATTGGAAGCTGCTTGGCTGTTTTAGCTCAATGTAAGTCGAAGCATAAAAAAGTKTCCAAAAATGAAGAGCAAGATGTCGATTTATCTGACAAGAAAGACGACAAGGAACAAACATCTGAAAGTGATTTGAACGAAGATGGTAAGCTACAATTTATAGCAATAAATCAGTTAAACCGTTTTTTGTTTTGTTTTTTGTTTTGAAGTAGTTAACCTTTCAATCAATTCTAATTGGTGTTTAATTGGCAAAAAAATAGAAACCGCAAAAGAACAGTATTAAAAGTGCAAAGAGAAGCGCAAAACAAATTATCTTGAATTATTATATTGCACTAATTAATCAGCGATAAGCTTTAAAGAATTAATATTCAGGACTCCTGGAAAAGGTTAATTCAATGGACCACCGGCATTTTTTATAAGCTAAATAAACAATCTATAAACTCGTTAACAGCTACATCACCTATACATATTACAGCCTGCTCTAAGGTTATTCCTTTAGAAATATATTTTACTCAATAACAATAATTCCTACTATTAATTATTGTTTTAAGCTGAGCAGGACGATGATGATGATGACGATGAAATTTCTTCCGGTAAGTGCTTTTGATACATCAACCGCAGCCTGCGTTACTAGTGTTCCGCGGTACTCGCCCACCCTGAAATAGCAAGAAACTCAGGCTCGTTCCTTGAACCATTCAAAATCAATAGGGGCAAAATATCAGTTGCCAGTTTGAAGTAATCATCAAATTCTGGTGTTGTATCAATAATAAATAGGTTCTGATCGACTATCCTTCAAAATTGTCGTTTTTCATTTAAGTAAAAGTTCTTGATACAATCCAATAAAAGGAAGTCCACAGCATTATAGTATTTTGACAACGTGACGGATATAACTGGTCTACGATAATCTTTAAATGATTTTATGAATTTCTTGACGCCATTTTGTTCCTCTTAATTTATGGTATATGAACTCATACCATGGTAGCAGAGTAGCCAATCAGAGCGCAATTTATTCTCCCCTCTCCCCTCTCCCCTCTCCCCTCTCCTACGTTTATACATATAAAATAAGTTTTTAAATTCGACAGGAAGTGGAGAAGATTTGGACAAACGTAAACAAGGTACTGAAAATGTAAAAGACCCSTCACACAACGATAAAAAAATAACGGTTTGCCTCCATACATGGACCTACGACGTTACCTTTCGTCATTACCGAAGGATGTCATGGACATGTCGTTCTCCGACATAGCGACGTAAACCGGAAGTGAACTGAACGCATTTTTACCCCTGAAATACGTACACATTTGTTCGTGAATAGCTCGTACAAAGGCAGCATGAATTCAAAAGTTGGAAGAAATAAACGTTGTTTTAGATCTCTAAAAGGATTTGAATGATTTAACATKCATTAGCATATTAACCTTCTTCATAAGTTCATAATTGAAGACGAGCTACCGTGTGGTTTTGAATGTATGCAATATTACWCATGGAGAGTGTTTCCACGCATGTAATTATACATTCTGTTATAAATGCTGGTATATTATTTTATTTTTCAGTCAAACCAGAGAAAGAAGAGGATCTCGTATCATGGAAATGCGAAGATAATGCATGTTCGGCTTGTGTAGATCTCCCCCTCGTTGATGAAAGTATTTATCAAAGAAATACAGTCAAACTTCTGAACTCACTTTTACTTTTGTAAATCTGCTTTTTTGTTCTTTTTCTTTCAGAATGTATTGAAGCCAAGGCAATAAGGGAAGACAATGGAACTGTAAACGTAAATTTACAAACATTTCAAATTTCTTTGTTTCCTAGAGTGATCGTACTTAATTAATCCGTGCAACTGTACAAAATCTAAGTAGTACTAATAGACTTCTGAACCTTTTACGTCACTACTTGATTTTCAATGAATTGTGGGATCAGTTTCAAGAGAAAACAAAAGAAATCCGCCATGTTTTGTCCCAAACATGTCCTACAATGCATTGCGTATACGGTACATGACGTAAAAGCTGCAGAGGTCTATTTGTACTAAAAGTGGACCTGAAGCAGACGGTATTGAATGCTTCATTTRTATCAATTCAATTTAATTTGCTTTTCAAGGCGAGGAGATCGGCCATGCGTCCCATTATGATGTAGTATTATACTAACAGTTATAATAACAGTTTTTACCACACTTGTGTAAATTTTCAAGAGCTCTTAGCTGTTTCGAGTGTGTCGATAAGATGACATTCAAAATCGTGCGCAATTTGTTAAATTCAGTATTCACCGTTCTTTGAAATACCTGATTCAAAGGCTTATAAACCAGCCTTACTTTTTTTTCTATTGTTTTAGACCCGGGACAAGTTTTMAGCGAAGCTTGATATAACTCTATAAGAACTGACTTCATGATAGTTATTCTTATTAACTTCGAAATAATCTTTTCTTTCAGGYCATAAAGTTTTCATATCTTTCTGACGGAAAATTAAAAAAGAACTGGGAGAAAAAAGGTATGGTAACGTCTAATTTGCTGATAATCACAATATAGATGACTAAGAACATTAATTAATGGGGCTAGATTTATGATAAGGTTCTTAGATAGAATTTCGATTGTGCATAGGGTGTGCATGATTATAAATTGTGTGTATAACCTAAACCTAACTGTAGTCTAAACCTAACTGGTGTTTTGCCAATACCTTTCCTACATCAGAATCCCATGACTGCGTATACCCACTAACGGCAAAACGCCGTGAGCCTTGAGAATATAAGTAGCTTTATCACTTTCTCACGATTATATTTTTTGATATTTCAGTAAACAGCACCATAGTACTCTCCTACAAGTTTGTTGAAATCACTCTCTATGACATTTCGATTGCCAGAGAGAAGTTTGGTGGTTGTGCGAAAATAAAGATCAGCCTTCCGATAAAGGACATTAAACATGACTTCAAATGTTGGCATTATAACTTTACAGACGCGCCTAACCAAYCGGAAGACGATGTACCAATCCGTATCAGACATGGAAGATGGCTCCCAAGGAGAAAACCAAAAACATCAAAACAATAAATGTAAACTTGACTTGATGCTGAATCCCTTAAGACGATAACTCAGCCTTTGTCSTTCCTCTGCTGCTGTAAGGGATACATGGAAATGGAGAAGTCKTAGTCKTTACCTTTCAACGTAAAATTATTGAATTGTAAACACGAAAAYTGTCTCAATAAACAAAACATGAATTTGGAAAAGTGTCCAAATGGAGTATTAACGCACCAGCGTAACCCTAACCCGAAATTTCTTCTGCGCAGATAACGAGGAACGAAGTCTTTGGAACCAAGACTATCGATCATTCTAGATTASGAATCTGGGTATCTAAGAATTTGTGTCCACAGAAAACCATTGATTTTATTGAAACGTTTAACCTTCGTCACAACATCGGATATTATATACAGCTTTTCCGAGTAACTAAACTACAATAGTTTCATTGGATTCGGTATAAAACCCCGGTCATCCCGGATAAAGGGAATAACCCGGACCTGCAGTGGAGCATAAAACACTTGAATCGAGATGTAATTCCTTGTTTTCATTTTTTTATGTCTATGACTATAAACTGTATGACAAAACGGTTGTAGACATAACCTATGGCAGCTTGTGCGTCCTCCGAATTATAGCAGAAATTTGATTCATTAGCTAACTTTGAATTATATGATTTTGTATATTCAGTAACTTTTATACTTTTAAACGGATATTTAACATATTAGAATATGTTCTCTCATCGAGCACTATTCGTCGGTCTTYACGAAAAATAATCACTATTAATTAATCATATATATTTGTAAGAGTCGGTTAAAAGGGACATGGTCCAMCAGCATCCCTTTCGAGCTTTTGCTCATGTTTGAAAATAAAAATACATCGTAAAATAAGCAAAACCTTTATTTTTAATCCCCTTATACTAGAGCAAACACAGGAAAACCATATGAAATAAAATCAAACTAAATACTAACAAATAGCGGCTAWTTAGAGACAAWTTKTCAGTATCAATGAACCAGAACACAATGAAGATGAATCCACATGGGACCATTTTTCATTCATCTTCATTRCGTTCTGGTTCATTGATACTGACAAATTTGTCTCTAAAYAGCCGCTATTTGTTAGTATTTAGTTTGATTTTATTTCATGGTTTTCCTGCGTTTGCTCTATATGAAAGGAGTTACTGTAAGATTCGACCTTTAAACCGATGGATGGAAACGGATTGGGAATATGGATATTGACGAACTGTCACCTCATTTTCCATATATGAAAAATCTAAAACACGACCGCATTGAATGCTGGTGGACCATAGATTGGACAAAACGTCTCCAATTCACTGTTTAATACTTCTGCTTATCTATCTTATACCATGAATACTGTTTTGATCGTATTTCTTCTCGGAAGCTGCTTGATTGCCGTCTCGAAGCAAACAAAAAAATTGATCAAGAACGAAGAAAATGCCGTTGACCTTTCTGACGACAGTCATCAGGTRTTTGCATGGTCTGGAAGTGGTTTGAGTGAAGACAAGAACAACGAACATGGTAAATATATTATCAAAAGCAAAAAGGATGTAAACTAAGGCGAAAAATTAATGAAAAAGTGGGAGAAACTTGCACTTGTTTCAGTCCTGGTCATGTCAATGTTTTAAGTCGAAGGCGCAATTACAGCTAAACAACCTACAATTCAGTTTTCTTTGTGTCAAAATAAACTCAATTGCCAATTGCATGCCAGAACCCAACTTGCTTATTTTCCTTGAGAAAACCAAAACCGCCAAAATAGCTTGACATCTGAACACTATTTAAGACAAAAATGCAGAATTCGTGAGTTCTCTATTCAAACGCCCCTTCCCCAGGCACCGATTAAAACCACTCCAACACTGAATAGGGAAAGGGTCTTTCGAAGATTTCCAGGGAATCTATTTGAAAACAGTGAGCTATGAAAACAACATGAATGCGAACAGAGTCAAAGTTATTCTTGGTGAAAWTTGCAGTATGCATTTACTATAGTTGATATCAAGTATAATTATTCCAGAAAGAGAATCATGGATTGAAGGTTTTGAACTAGTTTTTTTGCACCTTCAGTGTCATCTATTACATGTCGTACATTGTTACTCATATTTCCAATCCGAAAAACGAATTTTGATTAAAGTGTTTTTATTTTTTTTGTTACGTATTTTAAGGTGAAGACGAGACCCCTGATGACGATGAAAATGTTTCTGAAAATATTTCTGGTAAGTTGATGAAGCCGTGACCCATAAAAAAATCACCGTGAATTGATCACTTGTATCCGGATGACCCGTAACAATATGACCCACTTGTGGCAATTTCAAAAGCACCCTCCCCTCCATCACGACTTCCCTATGGTAAACCAACCCTTCCCTCCCCTCCCTCACGACTTTCGCACAGAAAATCATAGGGAAATGTTAACAAATTTTAGTGAATGATTGAACAAAACACATACACGAGCAGCTGCAATCATAAATTACTTGGAAAATCATATCTAACTAGAACTAGAACAAGACTCGTGCTCATTTTCCCTAAGTAATTATGGCCTTCACCTTCACCGCAGACCACCAGTAGGGCAGGCTCCTAGTTATGAGCAKAAACAAACATACCTTTTAGATCGATGTCCATTTAATCACAGGTATGGCAAGTGCAAGTGGCGAAGATCTGGAAAAACGTAAAAAAGGTACTGGGTAAAAAAATAACCCAAAGTTTACTTGTCAAAGTGCAACGTGAGATACAAAGAAAATACAAATTGAAAAACACTAAACCACACAACCAACGATCGGGGAGGTTGGGAATTGAGAGGGGGGGATCTTCAATTTCTGTGAAAGTAAGATTGCTATTTCGTCTAAGCTATAATACTAAACAAATAAAAAAAAAAAACATTTTTCAGCCCATGTTGCAATGTATAGTGGGTATGACGACTACGTGTTGTGTTTTTAGTAAAATCCGACCTTGAAATGGACGCTGGATGCAAATGCGAAGGACTTACATGTGAATGTTGCCTGAATGTTGACGTTAAAATACTCCAAGGAGAAGGTAAACCTAAATAATCGGTTAAACACAAAGTATTAACTGTTGATTCACAAAGTATGAACTGTTGATTCACAAAGTATTAACTGTTGATTCACAAAGTATTAACTGGTGATCATTTAATCCCGACTTGTCCGTTTCTTCCAGCGTGTATCGATGCCAGAGCGCTTCCTGACGAAAATGTACGTAAATCTGTCCATTTCAATTGCTTCACTTTGAGGTTCTTACATTTAAGCATATTTTCTTTTCCTTTCAGGCTGTACAGGTTTCATTGGTTTGGAATGGAGAAACAAAGGCGAGCGTGAAAAAATCATGTATGGTAACATAACTCTGAATGACGTCATTTTAGTAACGTCAATGTTGATGACGCCATTTTAGTATTGCAAYACTTGATAACGTCAATTCAGCATTGTAACGTCACTTTTGACGACATTATTTCAGCATTATGACGTGATGATCAGTGTGACCTGAAATGTAAATTTTATAAGTATATCATTTCTGTTTTAGTGAAACACGTTTCTTTTTGCCACTCTATTGTGCCGACAACAGAAGGTTGTGTGACTATCCGGGACATTTCACTCGACTCAGAGAAATTTGGTGGCTGCATTTCTCTAAAGGTAACACTGCCTTTCTACGAGGATACGTTCGAACTCGGTTGCTTTCACACGAACATTGAAGAAGCACTCAACGAAGCAGTTAATGATGTACCAATTCGGCTTAGACATGGAAGATGGTACGAAAGAAAGCAAACAAAAATCAAAGCAAAGAAAACAACTCCAAGGCATATTCACAAGAAAAATACTTAAAAACGTGTTTACCATTTATGATATCATGTTAAAATGAGTCTTGAATTGTAAAAATAAGAGGTACTTCGATCTGGCTCGACAGATAATGAAAGAGACCTTGTGATCGACGTTTAGAATAAGTCTTGGTTTTTATAAAGTATTAAAATGTAAAAACAAAAACAAACTGGGAAATACAACACTACATTAATAACTATAGCACAGAAAAAGTCTAAGGAGAGCACTCTCTACCATCAACCAATGAAAGCGCGCATTACGATTGGCCAATGAGAGCACTCCTTACCATCACCCAATGAGCGCGCGCATTGCGATTGGCCAATGAGAGCACTCTTTACCATCACTCAATGAGCGCGCATTAMGATTGGCCAATGAGAACACTCTCTACCATTACCCAATAAGAGCGTGCGTTACAATTAGCCAGTGACCAATGAAAGCATTTGTTATTATCATCCAGTAAGGACAGTATGGCAACGATCATAGAGAACTGCTTTATTCAAAGCGGACTTATTTTGTAAAGTGATTTGTTTTATTGCATATCAGATACACTATGTAATAATATCACAAACAGCAAAAAGTCACCAAACAATGACAGTACACAAATCTACAAACATTAAACAGAGCTTACAAGCTTGCATGAAAAGTTGTRCCGTCTAAATCGGCGTTTAAACAACTTCAGAGAAGCACGCGAATACTTCATATTCATGCAGTGTTAGAGAATGAAAATAAAGAAATATGGAAAAAAAAAACTATTCAATGTGCATGAGAATATATCAATATAGTAATCCAATGCCTTAAATCATATTCTGCGTACCAATGATTATCTGGCAGAGTTAACCAAACTTACCCAAGTGTGTCAAAACACGTTTAAAGATTAAAGCTATACTAAATATCTGAAATCCCTTTCAATAGTTTTTCCCTTTTTTTCACAATTCAATAGCCATTTTTTTACAATTAGGCATACCATCAAACAAGCCATCTGGGATGTCATTAACTATAGTAAATTATGGTTAGACTATTGTTAAGTCTTTCAAAAGGTGAWTATCATGCCTTTGCTTAAACAAGCATTTATCTTTTGCACTGTGCTTTTTGTTAGGCCCCATCCACACTTATGTGCTTCCATAACGTTCTGCTGCTGTTCTTAAACGCTATGAAGACACATCAAAGTGTGGAGGGGCCCTTACTACTCWATRCATCTATCAATGTGATTAGTGTAGGCGTCGTCATCGTGTAGTGGGAAGGAACGGTAGCAACGCGGACACGTTAAGTCATCCTGTCGGTTCGTACTACTGTCAGGGACTTCTCTCCCAACCTCCCTCATGTCCGCTTGTACATCACCTCCATAAAACATCTCATCCGATGGACGGGCTCCTCTTGGTCGCAGTGGYGGCTGGGAAGTAATGGGTATCATTCGTAAATATAACAGTGAAAAGAAACTAGTGAAAATAATCGGACAGAAAAACAAACGAAAAGCCTTTATATACACAACATGTTACTATAGCAATAGACAGACAGARCGTACCTCGTATCGACGACTTTGATATCTGTCTGGAGTGTAAAGCTGCAGAAAAAAAATCATTTATCCAGCCAATCAGAGCGAGCCTTATTTAAGCCTGTTATCCAGCCTATCAGAGATCGCCTTATTAACCATTCAGAGATCGCCTTCCCTTCGAAGCCTTCTCTGTTAGTTTAGAACCTCCATTGTGTTGTTAGGTTTCGTATTGTTTGGAAAAGCATGTATTGTTTCCCAAACCACGAGATTAGCTTCAAACGGATAGTGGTGACCCCTAATTTAACTGCACTACCCAGCCAATCAATAAAGCGCCTTATTTAGCCACACTATCCAGCCAATAATAGTGTGGCTTATTTAACCAAGCTATCCAATCAGAGAGCGCCTTTTTCAACTATTCATCCAATGAGAGCACGTTTTACATACCTGAGAATAACCAATTTGCGATTCAGGATGCCTGGCCATGATGCGAGGACGCTGCTGTAAGTTTTGCTGGTCCTGCAAGAGAAGTCTCTCTTCTCTATCATACTCATCGCGGAGAGCGCGCAGCTTTGCTTGCCTCTCTGCAACTGCTTGTACCTTTCTTGTCATCTCGGTGTATCGATTTTCAGGCTCCGGTACCTGTGAAATGGAAGAAGACATCATGAAAAACACAGCAAAAGATGCAAAAAACAAGTATAAAATTCTAAAGCTTCAACAACTGAGAGAAGAAACTCTTAAAAAACAGACCAAAGGAACAGATTTGAGCTGTAGACCTCCTTCACGCAAGCTATGAGACCTAAGACAAGGCCTGCACACCCCATCAATGATTTTCGGACTAACCAAACGAGTTTCATATCACTTGGAATGGGACGAACATTGATGTTATTAAGGGATTAGTAAGAGATTCCTCTCTTATTTATTGAAAAGCTTTGAATTTCTATCGCTAACCACCTCTCTGTTTGTCAACAATTGTCGACGAAGTCGATCTTTCTCTTGAGTTTCTTTCCTGAAGTCTTCCTTGTACACATTAAGCTGAAATTGAATGGCATTAAAGTGCTGTAAATCGATGAAAGAGATGAAACAATGAAAGACAAGGAAGGGGAAAAATCGGTCGAATCAAAATGGCCAGTGGAGCCAGAAAGGAAGAGAGGAAGAAAGGAGTAAGTGAATGGATGAATGGAAGGGATAATGGAATAACAAAAGGAGTGACTAACTAAAAATGAATTTATGATGGATTCGTGGGAAAGAGGAACGAAATTAAGTCTTTATTAAAAAAAGAAAGAAAGAAAAAGAAAAAAGAACGTTTCAAAGAAAACTAGAAAAGAAGCCAGCAAAGTGAAGGAGAAAGCAATGAGTTAATACCTGTTCCTCCAAAACWACGATTCTCTCTTTCGATTCTTTCAATTCTGTCTCCAATTTCTCTTTCTCTCCCTGCATCCTTTCACGATCCTCTCGTTCACACTTGAAGTCATCGGCATAAATGCGTAATTGCTGTTTGAGGACCTCGACCTCTTTAACTAAGTCTGAAGATTCTCCTGCTTGAGCGGCAAGGCTGCTTAGCGGCGAGTTCTGGAGGCCATACAACATGGTTGAAGCTCTTGGCTGAAACGAAACAGTAAATATTATAAAACACGTTTGGAAGAAACACCGAGAAAGAACTAACAAACAGTTTGACATGTAAAAACCTTGAGAATAAGGAACACAAAAGCAAGGAAAAAGATCAAAAGAAAAATGGCGAAGAATCGAATAGAAAGATGAAAAGAGCAAGAATGAAAAGGAAAAGAAAGGGAGAAAGGTGCAACATCACATTTAGAAACACTTTTGAAGAGAGTAACCATGAATATAAAAGATACCTGAATTTGTTGTTCTCTKATCTGCAACGACAGCTTTCTAATTTCTTCCTCAAGTTCTTTCACTTTCTCATCATTTCTCTACACAAAACAAGTCAAGAGTTTCAAATAACTRAAGACACTAGTTTCACTTAATAATATCTAACCCTCTTGTCCTCCATCGCTTTCTCTTTCATCGTTCTTTCATCATCAATCACTTTTTTATACGAGTTTCTAACGGCTTCATATTTTCTTTGAYTGTCAGAAGTTYTGTAAAACTCTACTTGCTGCTTGAGTTCTTTGATTTCCTTGGATGTTTCGGYTTTCAGTTTCTTGTATTGGGTATCCCAAGCATGGTTGACATCCAAAATCTACGACAACATTTACAGGAAAATGAAACATTGATTAAAGAAATGGAATAAGAATGAAATTAAATGACAAAGAAACAAAAAGACTGCCAAGACAAAATGAGAAACTTCTGCAAAACATAACTGAAATGGGAAGTGAAATAAGAAAGAAAATGTGAAAACCTCTTCTTTCTGTCGTTCTGCTTCCTTTTTTTGTTTTACAGCCTGATTCAGTTGTTTAATCAGCTCAAAACACCTTTCACATGACGGYGTGGTTACAGTAACTTCRGAGTCCAATTTTGCTTGATCTTCCTTCTGAAACACAGGRCAGACGTGTTGATCACATGGTCTGGTGATTTKTTAATCATAATGATGATGATTACAATGCAAAGGAGAAATGTATGATGCCAATGATGACAATGTTGAGAATCATGGTAGTAACAATGTTGATAACCTGCAGACTAACCTTTGCTGGTTAAAAGTAGGAAAGAGAAATGAAGATAGAAATACAATGTTTACAATCTACTTAAACTGAACAATAGCTGACTTTAGATATTTTGGTTCAGTGACCATGCACAAAAGAATTGCAGACGAGGCTCTGGGAAATAAAAGAATAAATCAAGATTATCCATTGTTTTCCTGGAGCCTTGTGTGCGTTCTTTTGTACATATGGTAGTCATTGAACCAAAAATTATCTAAAGTTGACTAATTCAGGCTTAGTAACACATGGACTCAATTCCTGTTCTAAGCTTGATTTTACTCAGGTCGAGTGGATTGTCATATTTGCATTTCTATTTTCATACCTTGGTTGGGTGTGACGATGAATGGCTGCTGGCAGTGCTGACTGAGGTWGATTGAGAGGACATGCTTCGAAGGGAAATGTCTTCYTTATTCACAATTTCTGCATCACCAAATACATTGATTTCATCTTGGATTTGTTGTAGTTCTTCAGTATAATCTTCCAGCTCAAGCTTCAAGTCATTCATCACCTTCTCTTGTGAGACCTGGAATAATCAAAATAATCAGCGTTGTARTTTCAACAATTTTTGCAGAGTAAATATCTCACTTGTTCATTCTCCATCTGATGGACTTTCTCTTTGAGTTGTTCCTGTTGACTGACAAGTCCTTGCAGYAGCTTCTCTCTTGTATTGACATCTTGGGCTCGTTTCTCAAGTTTCTCACATAATGACGCAATTTTCTGTGTAAGTTTAAGTTTTTCTTGTGGGTTTCTGATGGTCGGTACAATAGAGCGCATTTGCTGGGCTTGCAACAGTAGGTATTCCGTGTGTTCCTTGATGATCTTTACTCCATTAAGTAGATCCTGATGAAAAATTATTATTTTTTGTTTTAATTTTGATTGGTTTGGTAGTTGTTTGATGTGTTGCTTTGTGAATTGAAAGTTAGTTAATGGTTTGGCTGTTTGTATCATTAAAAGGGTTAGTTTTTAATGTAGTTAGTTTGTTGTTGGAGTGTTTAGCTTTGTTACATGATAAAATTGAATGGTAAATCATAATGTAGGATTAACRGTTGATTGAATGGTTGGTTGGTTGTTTTGGTACTAGAATGGTTGGTAGTCTGCTGTTTGCAAACAATATCCATCACCAGTTATCATTCCAAGAGTAGTGTATCTTCAATCCCAGCAAATTCAGTAATTCATCAGGAATATCTCTTGTCTTGTATATTAATATCRCTATTCATTCCTTTCATTACTAATCAAAATCTAAGAAAACACTATTGCTGAGAAAGAGATTCACACAGATACTACAATACCATAACATAGTTAATAAAGCCGCGGCTACATGAACGATTTTTTGCTTGCACAGGCAACGTGATTTTCTCAAAATCACCAGCTACATGAGCGACAATGGTGTATCAATAAAAWAATCCTCACAAATACTTATTTGAATCTCYAKAAAGAGGTATATGTACAAAAACAGCAAATTCGATGTTSAGCTTTCATCGTACCCRAATATCATGTTKCATGYGCAAGTGAAAAATCGCTTGTKTAGCCACGGCTTAATGAAGATMGTCAGTCTTCTCCAACTTGACTTCAACAGCTTTGGAAAGTGKGTTTGGCTCTACCTTGACATGGAACTCAAAACCAGGTGTTCCAGGACTTTTCAGATTCTCTTCAAATGCYGAGCCATGGTTGCTTGTAAGATTAGATCCATGTGGGACCATTTCAAATGCTTCAAAAGATCCTTCASCAGACAAAGTCAGAGAATTATCYTTTTTCTGGGACAAAAAGCACCTGGTGTCTTGAAGACTTGGTGTTGTTCTGAGTGACATCTGTGAAACATCAACACCTGATTGGGATAGTTCTCTCTTGAGATCTGTGACGTCTTGACGAAGTTTTGAATTTTCATCTTGAGAGTCTTGCAGAACTTTTCCTTTTGAGAAGTATACATAAGTAGYGTTTAATGAGGAATTCAATGTTAAACTGATATCAAAGGCGCAGTAAAAACAACAATCATAACATGATTTAGATCAAGTAGCCTAAAGAAGACTTGCTTTGCAAAATAAAGGCAAATATACAAAAAGATCATAGAGCACCACTCCATTTTGTATGATTTAACCATGGTTAACAGCACTCAGGCAGAATGACTGGCACTGGASGGCAATACTGAAGTTTTGGTAATGGTATTTACTGGTGTACACTGTAGTCCAAGTGATGCAACACCGCTAATAATACCTTGCAAAAATCTATTAATCCATTACCTAAAACTTCAACTCCTTGAACTCTTAAAGCAAGGGCCTTATTCTCTTGGACAAGTCTCTCTATTTGCTCATTTAGRTCTCTGGAATCCTTTCCATTGAACATTTTGTTTTTAAAGCTTAAAATAAAAGAGGCATGATGTAAGACGTCACAAATACAATATGACATATAATTATACCAAGTTTTAACTTCCCTTCATGTATCAAGTCAACAAGGTTGTTTATAATTAGAAACTATTTTTAGAACCTTTCAATGTAAGTTTCCTTTTCCATGGAGTTTTCCTTTCTATTCAGAGATCTGTTCAGAGATTCACTGAGGAAAACAGCAAACAGCTGACCTTGTAGCTTTTGTTGTTACACCACGTTAGCAAATTTACTATATAAATATTCAAAGTTCCAGTAAAAACAACTGAGCTTTGCATGATTCTTGTGAACTTTTTAAAGTTCAAGGTTTACAACTACTTACATATTAAATTTTTGTGTCATGCAACTTATGAATGACTATCACATGGACACTTATATAATATTTCATCTACTGTAGTAGACTTACTACTCGACGGGTGCCCATGACAATCATCCGACGCTCGGCTGAGTGGTTGGATGGACGCCCTTTTGCTTGTGAGCACATTTTAARTCTATTTTGAAATTCGTACCTTTCAAATATAGCATTTACAATTTACTTGTTTCATCATGGTAAAAATGTGTGCACCTTTTACAATTGATGTCTCATACTGGACGTGATCCGTGACACCAGCCTTCTTTTATGACGTTCAACATAAAATATCTCGTTACAGATGCCGGAAATGGAGCTCTTGGTTGTAAGGGAAAGTCCCACGAGTTTTCATTATCTATAGACATGACTAAAAACATGCCCCGAATCTCTGAAAGGACAAAAACTACCTTCAAACAAACTAWACCTACCTTTTCAAACGTTTTTCGGTTAAATTGAAGAGTGTAAATACAATTTTAAGCCTTTTCACATTAAAATTGAAATTACTTCGTCGTCAACATATTCCGTGTCCGCCATGTTGTTCATCGCAACTTTGGATTTTCTTCGCTTTTATAAAAAAAAACAAGAATAATGACTCTTACAATATTCAGTGATGTAGTTTGAGTGACAAACATTGATTTTTGAGTCAAAGAAAGAACAYTAAGGACCAAAGATCTCGATAAAATCCAACAACAGCTTTTAACGGTGAAACAAGCCAAGCGATGGAAACTGAAAGGATATGCATGTTAATCAGGGGATTCCCCAAACTATCACATGATAATCACCAGACCAACCAATGAGCGCATCTGTTACCMAAAATCAAAAGAAAAAAAAATCAAAAATGAAAGTTTTACAGCATACCATTTTTATAAAATCGTTTTAAGCTCGATATGTATAAAATAAATACAATCAATGTTCAAGGCATTTTTTAATGTATAGTGAGGTGAGGTGAGAGATTGCTGTCATGTGAACAAAATAAATAAGATCAGAGACCGAAATAGTTTTAACGGTTTAACGATATTTAGCTATCCTCCTATTATGAGATGTCCATCCTTTCTTGGTGTTACGATGATAGAATATTTGAATATTCATGCTCGAAAAGGCACTGTGGTGCATGAATCATTAATAGTCTTCAAAGCAGTCTATGTACAGACTTGGATTTTCATCCTCTTTTTCTCATCTTGACTAAATTTCCAAACTTTGTGTTCGTTGCAAAAATTCACTAATGAGCGATAATGAGCAGAATTTTTATTCCCCTGTACAGGCTAATTCCCCTGGAGCGGTCTGAGACGGAAGAAGGGAGTCCCAGTCCCTTCTTGTTCCAAGAAGTGTATGTATAAAGAATTTCCGCTTTATTGGCTGACGACATGGCCATGGCGGAAATTAAGGTAAGCGGAATTAAATAGTTTGTAATGAATTATTTTTCTTAGCATGAGGGAAGTTGGAAGTATCTGCTCGCATCTTTTAACAAGACAGATCTATCCTTGGTAACACAAAATGCAGACACCACTGAGCATAATATGCTACTAAACTTATGTTCAGAATCAAAATTAAAGTACATATTAAAATACATATATGCATGAAGAGTCTAGAGTCTTTGTGGCTACATTTGTCATTACTGAATCGCCTGAATCCAGTTGATGAGGTCTAATAAACATAAAGCGACCAGAACTKAATTATTAGATCGAACAAGCCTGGAGCCCATATCGGGTCTATTTTAACTGTTTCTTGTTTGAATTTATAAGTGTTGTTCCAATAATAGAGTTATATACCAAACACTTGCTTTAAATCTGTGAATTAGGAAGCAATTACATGTAAGAGATAGATTATTTATTCAAAAATTGAACATCGAAACTGAAACACATCGTCATTGGATAAAGACTATAAAGAATATGGGTCCGCAACACAATATTAAAGTTGGACAATAGGTTTCGAGCAATGAGCATCAATATTTCCTCATACCCAATCAAGCACGCTATGAAAAATAGTTCTACATGTCGCAATGCTCGATTTCCAGCGACTGAGATCTTTCTGGTCTGTGCAGTGAGAGGCTGTGAGGGAGAGGCTACTAACAACAATACTAAAGAGACTGGACTCATATAGGCTCAAAGGACATTATAGCACACGATATGGTTCAAGTTAAGGGTCTCTTGCACAAATTTATAATTCTACTTTCTTACTGCAGTTGTCTCGATTTCATTATGATGAAAGATCTCAACTTTGGCTGGAACCATTCTCAGAGCTCATCAATGGCTTGTTCCCCATAGAACAAGTGTATGGAGACTGGAATTGGTGGCATGCTGAGAGAGAAGCAAGACTTTTATTTAATCCAGAATCCCTCTGTTCTTCCTCTTCGTCTTACTTACCAACTGGTAGCCGAGCCGAGGGTTTTTGCATTCCTCGGCTCCTGTATTCAGATCGTGAAGGAGATGTTCCYTTACATGAAAGGAAATYCTGGACACCAGATTTAGATGAGATGAAAGTTGAAGAATGCTKCATCGAGGATGARAACAATAAATCAATCGCTATTTTCACACCAGAACACGTGTCAGATGATCCTAGGTATGTATGATGTCTGATATCACTAGTATCACTACCAGACAACCTTCTTTTTCTGTCACGTTATAGGTATGTGCATCTAAGATTCACCGACCAATGGAAAGAGGCAAAACCCAGGTATAAGAATGCAGAATTTGTCAACCATACTTTTTTGGTACCCTCCAATTGGTTTCCTGGTTTTGTTGGTCAAGGGTGGACATACGAAATGCATGGTCCAGTGCGAAAACTTCAACGAGCACAGAACGATTCTGGCTTTGTCGCCGGTATTGAGGAAGACCAGACTGGCGTCTTTAAGTATCCTTTAGCATGGCCTAAAGAGGCAATGGAGTGGATTATTCGCCCAAGACAGAATGCCTGGCCATCGCCTGAACTTCTTCAAAGTATAMTTGAATCGGGATGTCACTTGGCTCCCGTTGGAAGAGGAAAGCGCCAGAAAGAGTTACTGGAGTACATTGATTATGATAAAAGCCCTGCGCAAGCATCAACATCTTCTAGAAATGATCAAGACAGCCAAGACCTGAGCAAAATGGACGAAACTGAGTGGAGGTTGTCTTTCTCTGTTGCTAAAAACAAACTCGGCGAAAGTGTATCTCCTGTGCAACGCCATGTTCTCGTGTTCCTCAAAATGATCAAAAAGGTTTATTTCCCAGACGTGATATCTTCATATCACTTGAAGAACTTACTATTTTGGGAAATTGAAAAGCAAGACAAGTCATTTTGGATGGAAAGTAATATGTCGAGCTGTTTGTTGTTAATTCTGGATCGATTGCAAAAGAGTGTGGAAGAAGGTTATCTCCCTCACTATATAATCCCAACCAGCAACCTATTCTGTTCAGAGGATCCTTCTGAACTTACTCAAGCAGCTGCAGTCATCTCTGACGTGAGAGTCAATATTTTGCCCAAAACGATAAGCTTGCTGAAAAGATGTTTTTCAATGACTTATCTCACACAAACGTTCATGAAAGACCTGAAGGATTTGGAAACGCTAGCTGAGAAACTACATGACAAATCGCTGAAAGAAGATGACGTGGCTGAGCTAACGAGATTGCTGCTTGGCGTCTTTATCGAGAAGAGTGGAGAAGTGCTAGAGGCGATTTACCAAAGTCAACCAGAAGAAGAACAGGAAAATGCCGAAACGATCAAGCAGATGTTGCTTGTTCCTTTGAGTGCGTATCAATCACTTCTGGCAAGAAATTTATGTAAGGCATGGTATCTAAAACACAACAAAACCAAAGAAAACCCATCAAGCCATGATTTTGTGTCATTTGTAAAAGATGAAGTGAAGAAATTGCCCCTTGATGACACGTTTTTTGACTTAACCAACTTGTATTTCACGGAAGCCAGAGAAAATAGAGATATGTCGCTTATGATTCCTTACACTTCTGCCATGAAAAACACAAAGGAATCTTACAGAAAAGTTGCATGGAAGCAAGTTGGGGATGCCCAGAACAAGTTAGACCAGGTAATGGCAGGAATTACCAAAACTGACCTGAAAGAAATATCAAAACGTCTTGAAGAAAAATTTAAATGTCAGCTGGACAGTGTGACGACTGAAGGTATCAGAGCTGCAATAGACGAAGAACTTCAATTATTAGTTTACAGGAAAAAGTAAGTAAACAAAAAAATACGGAGAGAAAAGTAGACTATGATGCAAAAATAATGCCAATGACATATTAGATGAGAAACTAAAAAATTATAAAAAAAAAGTTTAGTAACGATTAACAATAGATTTTGAACCCAAAACCACGGGTTGCAAAACTATTTATCTAAAAGAGTGATCCAATCACAAGGATTAAGAATTGAACTCTGATCCCCACCATTATGTAAAAAGTAAAGCTTATTGTTAATCTCTGCTACCAATAGAGCGGATTTCGCATGAGTGGGACACCGTTACCGCACGGTTACCGCACAGTTACCGCACCTGGCCTGCACAATTTTGGTGAACCAATGAGACACTAGAATTTGGTTACAGTACGTTTACGGTCACAGTACAGTACCGTCCGTTCCCCACTCATACGAAATTTGCTCAAATGTCGCTGATCCCTGATCACATACACCCTATCGACACCCTATCTGGATACCAGTAAACAATTGTTTGGGCTGCCTGTGTCCGTGAGTGGACTGGGTAAATTTCGCCTGGAACACCCGGTACAGTCCCCGGTACAAAATCTTCATTATTGTCTAGGTTGTCAGGAATGATGGCTGATTCTTGTACAATAACTTATCCTTCTGTACGGMGAGATGAGACGATTATTGACGACTACCACGGCCACAAAGTTCCCGATCCTTATGCCTGGCTAGAAGACCCTGACTCCAAAGAAACGAAAGAGTTTGTCCATGAAGAGAACGAAGTCACTACCAAGTATTTGGCGGAGTGTGATATTCGAGATCGCTTCAAAAACCGGTAATCAAATTTTATCAGTCGTGAATATACTAGTTAATCAATTGCTTTCAATAACAGAATTATCGCTTACTTTTTATTGCTAARTTTTGTTCAGAAATCAACTGAAATGTACTTATGTGGTTAACTCGAGTTATATTATTTCATAGTTAGTAAGCTTAAATTTTAAGCTTAAGTTAACTTACTATAAAACTATGGTTTGTACGGGAAAATACTTGAAAAGAACATTATATGACTACAGATGTTTTTTTCACTTGCCACAAGCTGCAGCCTGAAATCTGATCTTAAAACTTTTAAAAATACCCTCATTGTACTGTCCTTGACTTATACTTATTGGTTTACTTTGACTAGTGCATTAAGTTGGAAGGACATGCTCTTAAGTGTGTCCTTCAAATTATTATTTATTTTGCAATCTATTACAAGGGTCTTTTTGTAGTGTTTTGTTATTGTTTGTATTGTTACCTTATTTTCAATTTTGTTATGTAATTATTTAATGTTTTCAGTATGACTGAACTGTGGGACTATCCCAAATATGGGTGTCCATTCAAGGAAGGACCACGTTATTTCTATTTCTACAACTCAGGATTACAAAACCAAAGGTGAATGAAATAATATATGAATCAATCAAGTGATCAAAGATTATCAGTCAATCAAAGAATCCATCCATCCATCCATCCATCCATCCATCCATCAATCAATGATCTGATAGATCATCAATCAATCAATCAGTCAGTCAGTCAGTTAATCAATCAATCAATCAATCAATCAACTAATCAATTGTCTTTTCTGTTAGCGTGATGTATGTCCAGAATAGCCTCAAGGAAGAAGCCAAAGTGTTTTTAGATCCAAATAAACTCTCAGATGATGGGACAACTGCTCTTGCTGGCAGGACATTCACTGAGGATGGGGAACTGTTTGCTTATTCACTAAGTGCAAAAGGATCTGATTGGGTTACTATCAAGGTAAAACTTAACAGTTTAATACTAAAGACTTCATAATCTAATGATTATGATAAACAAAAATCTTTCAAAGAAGTTGAGTTTGAACAAGAAATGACAAAACGACAAAGATGTTAACTGTGTTCAAATCATCCGGAAGATGGTAATCTGAAGTAAATAATCCTAATAAAATGTACAAAAAAGATCCTATATCCCTCTTATAATCAATAACATTTCTGATTAATTTTTACTATTATGTGAAATAATTTGTTTAGTTCATGAAAGTGGAAGGAGCTGTTCAGCTGCCTGATACTCTAGAAAAAGCCAAGTTCACAAGCATGTCTTGGACCCATGACAATAAAGGATTGTTTTACAATGTAAGTTTGTTGTTTTATTTATTCTTTCATCCCATTTATTCATTTTGGTATCTATTTAGAAGTTGTGGACAGTTTTAAGTWGTGTGATGTGGAAAATACAAAATGTAGCCGAAGCCGCTAAGTGTGTAGATTGAGTTTACAACAAAAATATGATTCCGAGCTTTCGCTGTCTACAGCATCATCAGGGAATCGAGTTTTAAGTTGTATTTCCTCTTAAGGATGCACTCTTTATGTCATAACATGTTCAAAACTCATGGACCCATGACTGAAGCAAGTGTGAGAAATATCTACAGATAATTATTATAATATTGATGTTTTTCTTTTCTGGTGCAACAGCAATATCCCAACCATACAACTAAAGCTGATGGCACAGAAACAGACTCTAATCTTGATCAAAAGGTAAGAAAGCTTTTGAAACAAGTGATTTACAAATGATACATTTGATCACAGTATAACGGCGTCAGCTCCAAATGGGAGAGATCCGTGAAACTAAAAAGCTCACAAATTCATACAGGGTGTTTATTGGTAGTCACTACTCATCGAATTTCTCACGTTACAAACATGGGATTATATGCTAAAAAGCATGTGACACTCGTTACTAAGTAAACAATATATCGATCACCGAGAAGCCTATTGTAAATAATTAACTACGTCCGTTCTGTGGTTACACACAGCTCTACTACCACTACCTGGGAACCAGTCAAAGTGAGGATATTTTATGCTGTGAATTTCCAGAAAAACCTAAGTGGCAAGTGTAAGTATTTGGTGTTTGTAAGGTTAACATCAATAAATACATTTGAGCTACTGTTGTATAAGTGAACGTTTACTTCATCAAGTTACGATTATTAGGACCAATGTTTGTTTTTAGGGGAGGTCAAGTAAGTGATTGTGGAAACTATCTTCTAATCACTCCAAGGGAAGGTTGTGAACCAGTGAAYAGGCTCTTTTATTGTGACCTGAAAACTCTTGGTGCAATCAAAGGTTAGGACACCTTGAACACTTGGTGGAATAGTTGAAGAAGATAATGTCCTGAGAAGACAAAGTCAGTCTAAATAATTTGAGATTTGGTCTATATTTGACAAACACATTTACATTTAAAAACAATCTAATATGTATGTTTCGTAAATCAAATTTTGGTTAATTGTTAAATGGTTCATGGATAAGTGTTGTTTCATTATTTTCYYTCYTCAGAAAAGCTACCCTATGTTAAGRTTGTTGACAACTTTGATGCTGAATATGAGGTAAATTTGTGTGAATTGTGSCGATGATTGTTGTTTTTGATAATTAATATTATGACTGTTGATTTTATCACCAGTATATAACAAACCAAGGCACRATGTTCACTTTCAAGACAAACCTGAACTCACCAAGATACAAGTTGATCAATATAGACTTGAACAACTACCAACAGGTATGTCATTATTATGCTTTGTCATCAGTAATGAAATCTTAGTTTGCTTATTATAATAATATTCAATGGTTGTGTTTTAGGACAACTGGACAACCCTAATACCACAGGATGATCTAGATGTACTAGAGTGGGCTTCCTGTGTTAAGCAAAACTTGCTTGTACTGGGTTATCTTCATGATGTCAAGGTTGGTTTGTTTGCTTTAGATTTCTGTTASATTAAATTAGTAATTTTGTACTTTTATTGCCTTTCAGAGTGTCCTTCACTTGCACAGTCTGGAAACTGGARAACGTCTCATGACTTTTCCTCTTGACATAGGCTCAGTTGTGGGATTTTCAGGGCATAAGCGCCAKTCTGAGGTACATACAATATAGCATATAGAAATACTAATTGCATAACAAGATTTAGACTGAGCAAATTTACACCTCAACAATGTGTTGTCAGAATGTTAGCAAGTGTCTTATTTGTCTTATGGTAGCCCCTGTGTCTTGTCTGCTATCTGCAATCTGTTTTTCTTTTTCTTTTTTCACAGATATTTTACCAATTTACCTCTTTTCTCACCCCTGGAGTCATATACCATTGTGACTTGGCAGAAGAAAAGCCTCARTCAAAGGTAAAAACATTGTGTCACTTTAATAAAAATTGTTTCAATTCATATTTTGTGTTAAGGAAGTTAAATGACATTAACTTGTGTCATTTATGGCAGGTTTTTCGTGAAATAGTTGTCAAAGGCTTTGATTCCAGTTTGTATCAAACGGACCAAGTGTTTTTCAATAGYAAAGATGGAACAAAGATCCCAATGTTTATTGTTCACAAGAAGGTAAAAATATTTCAGTTTTATATCAAGAAGAAAAGATTGTACTTCATTTCAACAACAAACAAGACAAACAACTTAAAAAAAGAAACAATAAAGAAACAAACTAGCGACCAAATACAGAAAACGTACTAGTAAACAACAGCATGATACAATAAAAGTGGAGTGAGCAAAAGCAAAACCTTACTAGAAGACGAGATTGTACTGCAACAAAAGACAAACAACTTTAAAAAGAAACAAAAAGAAACATAAAACTAGCAACCAAATACAGAAAACGTACCAGTAAACAAGAACATGATACAGTAAAAAGAAACCAAATCCTTACAAGAAAAGAAACCAAATCCTTACAAGACTGCATAGCTGTCAACCCTTCGGATTATCTGGGAGTCTCCAGAATTTGAACCTTCACCACAGGAAGCCCAAATCATGATTTCACTTGACAGCTATGAGACTGTTGTATTTGTTTATTGTATTTTTCCAGGGAATCAGTCTGGACTCCAGTCATCCTGCCTTCTTGTATGGCTATGGAGGGTTTAGTATCTCAATAACCCCGTCATTYAGTGTGTCAAGGATCATGTTCATCCATAATCTTGGTGGTATTCTTGCCATTGCTAACATCAGAGGAGGACAGTAAGTACATCAATGTCTGATCATTTATCATAACTATATCACCACAAACTACATACAACAATCAAACATGATGGCATAAGCCAATAATATTGGATTACAAATGATTGATATAGTTATATTTGTCCTCTCTAGTGTGTTCATTATTGACTAGTTCAACATTCTTTGTCGCTTTTCTCTAGAGAATATGGTGAAACATGGCACAAAGCTGGTATTTTTGGCAACAAACAGAATGTATTTGATGATTTTCAGTTTGCATCTAAATATCTGATTGACCAGAAGTACACTTCACCAAAAAAGTAAGGTGTTTGATAGTTTCTATGATCATAATATTACGGTTAACATTAATTTTTTTAACAAATATGCATGAAGGAATAAATGCAATATCATATTTTGTAACTTTTATGATACAAATTAATCAGTTTTGTCAAGAAATAATTGTTTTTAATGCTGGATTAATTTTTTGTTTGCAGGCTTACAATATGTGGAGGATCGAATGGAGGTCTGTTAGTGACAGCATGCATCAATCAAAGGCCGGACTTGTTTGGTTGCGCCATTTCTCAAGTACCGTAAGTTCACYCATATGTCATTTATATGTTGTTATCAAATTCATTAATAATTCATAAGGCAAATACAATGGAAAATCATTGCCGTGACCGCATCTTTATATGAGCAAGAGATTTGTCCTGATTTGCATACGACTTTAACTTCAATTTTCTCTTACAAATGATATTTTATCTTGAAGTTTTTTTGAAATATGCTTTACCTTATGTTAGAATTTGATAAGCAATATAAAATATTCGCGTCCGACCTTTATGGGCTATAAAACTGCTCGCTTGCAGCTTGCAGATTAAATGCCCATAAAGGTCTCCCACTCATTTTATATATTACTAAGAAATTAGTAATGGTTCATGATGTATAATCCAGGCTGATAAATACTGAGCCCAAAGTGGCACAACTAACTAGTTTTTTATTTTTAGGGTGACAGACATGCTCAAGTTTCATAAGTTCACTATAGGACATGCATGGTACGATAGGGGGGAGGGGGGGAGGAGTGGGGTTTGTTTTAGGGGTTGCCTAGTTTGCAGGTTTCACTCATTGTTTTCAGTTTTCTCTGATTTTTTTTTTTTGTCTTTTCAAACATTTTTTACAGGACAACAGATTTTGGATGTGCTGACAAGAAAGAAGAATTTGAATGGCTCATCAAGTAAGCAACTTTTTTTTTGAAGATTAAACATATATTTTGGAAGATTAAACATATATTTCAAAATTGAAAGTGAAATATTTTTGTATGATTTCATTTGACAAACTTGTAGACTTCCTTATTATAAATTAACTTATTCCTGAAAATAACCTTGAAACGTATTTTAAATTACTTTTGTAATAGATACTCGCCGCTCCACAACGTCAAAATACCCGACAATGGTGCACAGTACCCCGCGGTTTTGTTGCTAACCGCTGACCATGACGACCGTGTTGTTCCCCTTCATTCGTTCAAGTACATTGCAGAACTCCAACATGTCATGGGCCACTTAGAATACCAGGTAGCTACCACGTGTTTGACCTCGCCCCGCACGACTTTGAGCGTTGACTTATGCATGGATCATCTGCAAGGGTGTGTCCACGTGTTTGACCACACCTTCGTTTATCTAACCACAWCAGATACCATGTGGCTAGCCACACCCACCAATCTCCATGTGTTAGACCATTGTATCCGACCGCAACATGTACCACGTGGCTGACCACACCCMACAYTACCACCAACTAACCACGTTTTGACCACACCCATTTYTCTTTTGYATAGAAAAATCCATTGTTGATCAGAATTGATACAGAAGCTGGTCATGGKTTTGGTAAACCAACTGCTAAACTGGTAAGTGGGTTTGTCAGTAAACAACACGACGGTTGTCTGATCGAGTGAAATGTTGTGGGCGAGTGTAGTATACTAACAAAATTGTGCAAATCAAAACCAGAAAGAGTGATCGCACTTAAATCGTGCAACTGTACAAACTGAATAGTGCTATTTAGTTGTATTTAGTAMATCGTGCATACGGGTTGCACTTCGACGATAATGGTTGTAAAATAAAGACACAAGACGCATTTCCAGTGTCTTAGTATACAAATGAAGCATTCAATACCGTCTTGCTTCAGGTCCACTTTTAGTACAAATTAGTACTACTTAGATTTTGTACAGTTGYACGGTTTAAGTGCAATCGCTCTACTGGCTTCTGTTGTTTTAAACGGTGAATTTTTTCGATTTAATGAAGAGTATATCAGAGATAAAGCAAATGCATTTTAAAAATAGGTTTGTAATATGACTAATTCTTTTGTCACTTTTGTTCAACTGGTCATAATATTGCGCCAGTTAGCAAGAAGGGCCTCACGCTTTTTGTATACACTCTTGTATTCCTGCAGTCCATGAACCAATATCATTTGCTGTTGTTTTAGATTGAAGAATATTCAGATATCTTTGCATTCATCGCAAGAAATGTTGGTGCAACATGGCGTGATTAACGATAAAAGTACAACTTGACAACACAACTTGACACAATAASAAGAAACTATTGATCGATGAATGTCTGCACTAATAAASCAACTCGGACGGACTAGAGTTTTCCGGGGGATAAATGAGTGACTTTGTGAAAGTCTCAGGGCCATAACCAGAACGTCTACCGGGGGGTGCACATCTGATAAAACCGTACCTTTTTTATCAGTACATGCACCCAGTGTACACCCTTGCCTTACGAGCCTTAGCACTATCTATAGATGTAAAACCTGTACTTCGTAGACAGTATTTGAGAAAAAATAAAATATATTTATTCAGTATAAAAGAAAGTTATCAAGAATTTACCAATAATTATTATTTACAATTGATAATAAAAATCGTAGTATAACAATTCYCTCTATCCTGGCACATGACAAATCAAAATAGGATCGATAATGGTCCGTTCGCTACTCGTGTTGTTTTCGTAGCATTTTCGTGTACCGACAGGCTACACCTGTCGCTGATTTGAAAGATCATGTGATCTATGTCGTCATACCTAATCACGTGACTATACCTTATTTAACTTTTGATAAATAAAAATTCAGAACAGAGAAATGTTGATAAAAATGTAATTTTAGAAGACTAAACTACCATGTTACCATACTATCGTCAGGCTGCATCCGAAAAGCGGATGTATAAGATAACTGTTCTTAGTTCTCCCTTCATCCCACATGCTGAAGGTATTTTTTTTTCTTTATATTCTTATAAATGAGCAGAACCAMATGGCTGTTTTATCGGCATCGTTGGCATCACGTGTGCTTGCTCTTCATCACATAACTTGTTACAGCCAATGATGAAAGAGTTCGTTGTTAGGTGACGAAATTAAATATCATGTGACTAAGTTAGTAGATGACGTCATGGAGATCACGTGTTCAGTGATGTTAGTGACAACCGCACGACGTCACCACCATATTTGGATATTTTTTCAAAACAACATCTTTATTATCGTTGTAATAAAGCACAGAAATCGATGAGAGGTTAGTAGGGGCACAGCATGGCTTGGGTACAGTCTTAGGGTTCATCAAATGYACCAATGTCTGCACTATCGCATGGTTAGTGGCATTCATATTTGAATTCAACGGAAAAGAACACTCTCCATGACAATAAAACGCAGAGTACCCCCCAGGAGCAATCACCCAGTCTTGCCATTGGAGTTTCCTGAAGTTGACGTAGAGAACTCTYCGCTGACAAATCCCTTTATTTGACAAATGTGAGTTGTTTTTCCTGTTTGCGCCTGCTTTGGAGTTAGCGGACCGTGTGACGCGGGAAGATCGACCTTGTTTATGCTTCATGAATTCTGGGTAAAATCGTCTGGAGTAGGAATCATCACTATCTCGTTGGAAAAAMGAGACAATAAATGGATGAAATTCTTGCGGTCCATTAAATCCCACGAACCCAGCCTTGTATGGACTCACTTCATGATTATAAAAGTTCTCCACAGATAATTCCAAACCGTAGTTGTTGGACGGACTTTCTGACCATGATTTACCAGCTTTACTGATGTCAAACGCTTGCCAACCAACGTCCCAGCTTCGTAACACTCTTCTTTCGATCAGGTCCAACACTTGAGCAGGGTAAATGATTTGGTAAAGACGTAGTACGAATGTACTATTTTGCCAATATTTGCTTGGAGTGGTTCTGGCTTTGTATAGTCGAAACTCCGTGGCGGTGATCTTCTCGCCAACTGGGGAAACGATTTTGAAGTGGAACTTTGCATGATTATGAGATAGTTTAGGGCCTTTGCCATACACTGAGGGGAAAAGACGATAAAAAGTTAATATAAAAAGAAAAATAGAAGGACGGAAAACTTTCCGTCGTTTTGGAAAATAGCCGTTTGTTTTTTACTCCGAAACAAAGTGAACTTTCTAGGTTTTCTTGGTGAGTTTTGAGGTTTCATGTTTGAAAGAACGTGCCAAGAAGCCCGAGTAAACGAATTATAATCGAACCACGCATCTATGCTCTCACACTGCTGTTTAACGACTTAAGCCTCGGGGTTTTTTCTATTGTTTGGGTGTAATTACTTTAATGCTAGCGATAAAATGCTTAAGGCAGCCTTGGATCGACTCTAATTCAATATCCCTCTAAGCCCCATATATCCCGCATGCAGCGAACATGTTGAAGTGTGCACCCCCACGATGGAGGGAAGACATTTCGAGAGGTGAGACTGTCCATAAACCCGTGAAATTCAATTTAGCGTTCTATAACACGTTATTATGGGCGTTGTTTGTTGTTTTCTTTTTTCGTGCATCACACTTTGGTTATGACATTTTGCTTCGTGTACTTTTAAAAACAAGATCTAACAGTCACGCTATACTGTAAAGCCACACAAAGGAAAACAATGGAATTAGAGGCTGCTATACAAGGATTTATAAAAGTCTTTACACCTGCTAGTGAATAATACTGAAACTGAACCAAAGAAATACAATCAAAATAAGGTCTAATAACTAATACTTCTCTACTATTAAATCTATACAGATTTTTTACTTCACTGACAGCGGAGCAAAACACGTTTGAAGTTTATGGCTATTCTTTAATGTGCGATAAGGTATCATTCCAGCGACTTAAGCCTTGGTACACGGAACTGTAAACAAACTGTCAAGTGGAGACACTCCGCAAACAGTTATTGATTCCGTTTTAAACGATTTTGTGGATGAGATAGTCATTCACAAGTCTCCGTTTACATACTGTCTAGAGCGCCTAGARCGTCATTGAGATACAGATTATCTTAATGATGCCATTAAAGGAAAGATAAGTAGAAATACTGAACTATCCAAACACGCACCACAGCAGAGAAGTACGTATGGAAATCTCTCTGYACAAAGTTTTAGTTTTAGTTTTTTTACATGTAATCAGAAAAATTGCTATTGAACTATCTACACACATCCATAATAGCAACAGCAACGAGTGTCAGGTCCAATCAGAAAAGSACACAAAAAGTCTCATTTTATGGTCTTATCGGCTGGTCAAACCAACTCTAAATTACTATCTAACTATCTTAACATGGACACATGGAAAGCCAAGAGCCGTGAGTGTACACCACATGGTCAGAGTTTGATAGCATAGATCTCTGACAAGATTATTTGTGACAATATGTAGCAAAACTTTGGGCAGCTTTCACCCCTGATACCCGACATACCTTGCCCTATACATCCTCCTCTAATAACCTGATTCCCTTTGATTTCATATGTCAGCTACATCTTGTTCACATCACTCTCTATCTCTAGTACAACAAAGCCTAATAAACCATTACGGAACTAGGAAATTGACTTAGCATGGGATATTGAAGGTTATCAGCACTTTTCACGACCCCCACCAATTATGCCTTGTACGTATCYTATTATAAACACACTTTGTTAGTTTCCTGGATGAACTGACTGCATTGTTTCGTAATGAGATATCGACCAGAGGTTTGTCAACGACCAGATTGTAAACGACGACTATTTTCAGTAAACGCTYTCTTGAATGAGGACGGAGACGTTAGATTAGTCTTCAAGAAACCGTTTATAACGGTTGACAGACATTACGTATCTCTAACGTCCATACTGTTGCGTTTCCGTAGTGTACTCGAATTGCTTAATGCGTTGAAGTGAAAAGACAACATTCAACACCCAATAGACTGGGGGATGGAGACGTAACGATGAAACAATCTATAAATTCTCTTCAACTTTGCATGGGATAAGAAATCAAAATCTCTTTAGCACTTGGTGTGATTTTACACTCTCTCCTGGATAGCAGACATTATTTTACCATTACTGCCAAGTACAATTGCCTACGCATGGCATAACGGATATTAGGACCCCTTTTAACCCCATCAAGGACTGCGCGAAGGGTTATCTCTAGCTGACCTATCTTCACTGATGTCCACACGTTAATTCATGTACTCCMTTCTTACCATTTAATACAAAGGAATCTGATTAACAATTGAAGAGCTTCGAGGGCTTTTAAGATTAAAATGTTGACGTACTAACTCAATTTGATTACAACACTCTCTAAAACGACCRTGCAGGAGTACTGGTCGTTTTAGCGGGGTTCGTCGTCGTTAAGGAAATGCAAAAACCCCTTTTGGAATAATCACGAAACCCCTCAACAATGACCACATACTTGGTCGTATTCAGCGGGGTTTATGCAGTCAGGAGGAACGACATTAAGTGTTTTTTCCGGGCTTTTAATTACAGTAATCCATTTACGAGCCCCCTGGTCGACTACTTCATATCGACAATGATTCGCTTGGTTAATAAGCAACACGTGTGTAAGACATCATCTAGAGGAARCCKAAGGTCGACTTTGCTATGAAACGAATTGCAACTATCCTTATCGCTAACTACAAGATATCATACACGTGTGAGCAACACATGAAACAGAGACCATTTCTCMACCAGAAACTATTGAATTCTATAAAGAATTACAATCTGACTTTAGGACCCAGGGCAGTACAGTTATATGGAAAGCAAAACTAGTATAATATTGTGGAAATTTTGGTCGAATATGTAAAGTTTGAGTTATAGATGGATATAAATTAAGTAGAGCACTAACAGTAGTCAACACTGTATTAGCTATGTGTTTATGTTTGATGAAAGAAAAACAGAATAAGTCTTATAATGACTATCATTGATTAAGAATCACAGATACTACAGTACCTGGGTGAAGATAGCTCATGATTGTATCAGCTCCCAAAGCTCTCGAATCAGCTATGGTATTATTACAACAAAACCCATCGTGGAATGACTGGTTTTGTGAAATACTGTTATACAGCTTAATCATATATCTTGGAGCAGACATTAATCGTCGTAAGTGCGACGAGATACCAGTTGGTTTCGGCCTTTGGCGAAGTCCCATAAGCTTTAGTATCTCCTGTTTGAATAAAGGAGATTCTGTTGGGTCGTAGCGGTTCGGTTTTGACCATTTTGTTTTGGTATTTCTACCAGAAACTGCTGCGAAAATACAGAAGAACGTAAATAAGACATTTAAGCTCATCCTGGTCGTCACAAATGTTCGCTGTGTTCAAAGTAGACCCCTTGGGTAGCAAGAACACTTATCGGGACAATACAGCCGTCAATCAACCGTCGTTCGGCATTGGTCTAGGGTTATGACCTCTATAGTTAACCAATCGAGTGTGTCCATCATTGTTTTCAACTCGTAATACACCAGTGTTGATTCATGGAGCGCGATATTTCCAGTCTTACAAACTTAACTATTTATCAGCTGGAATTTATATCATMATAGAACATCTCTTATCGGTGAGATACTTAAACTAATATAAACATTGTATGGCAGGAATGTTGTGGCTACAGAAAGGAGATATTTCATATCTTTTTGCGAAAATCATAGTTTTAATAGCAACATACTTACGGTGTGAAAAGTACTCGAAATAAGAGAACAACACTCTAAACTTAGAAGTAAAACGACAAGAACGACATTCATKTTCAAAAACCACTTATTAGCAGTTGTGTTCAGGATTTTTAAAAAAATCTTTAGTGTACGTTTTTTTTTAGTTGGAGGGCTTCTAGTCGACTTGTGACGTTACGAAAGTTTTTAGGTGAGCGGCAACTTTTTTTACTTTATAAATAGCCAGAACTACACATCCCACAGGGCTAAGCACACATTACTTTAGTATGTATCCTCTCGGAGTCTCTACCACCGCATGGCGGAAGACCAAAAATTCCGTGGTCTCGACAAGACTACGCCACGCAACGTTATAATCGGMAAATAAAAACCTGGGAATTTTCCCAGCCTTGTTTTGGCACACTTTATTGTTTGATAATTGTTTAGGCTTGGCAGGAATAAAGTAAAAATTCCTTTCTATTTTGCTTCGAATTAGTAAGAGWAAAAAGTGAAAGTGTCGTGGAAGGAAGCACGTCGTTAGAATCACTCATCCAAATTGCATTGCATTGGCTTTTTCCTTTCAATCGCACTGGAAAACCAATTCAGTGTCAATKAAATATATTGGCTTTTTTTCCTTTAAATTCAATGGAAAAAAAATTCCTTTCCATTAATTTAGTGTGCATGGTACTGCACTGGAAAACCAATTCAATGTCAATGACACTGTACTGGCTTTTTCGATCATCACATCAAGTGTTCTTTCTTTATCTTCTCTTTATGAAATATTCTTCGTTCACTGGGCGTAACTTTTTCTTTAAATACTCTTTATTTATTTAAACAAACTGAATGTTTTAATTGCTTTTCTTTAAGTTAGTCAAAACTCTTGAAACTCGTCTTCGTATTTGATATATTACGTAATGAGAGGACGTAAGGGTTCTCAGAAGCAATGAATTTTAGTTCGGGATCACGATACAGTGTGGAATGTGCGGAATCCAATCATAGTTTTGGGCATCGACAGCCGTCGAAAAAAAGAGAAAATGTTTTTTTTTATACAAATACTTCACAAGAAAATGCTAACTCCGAGATATAACATTTTTTCACGCCAATTCATTATAAAAAAAAAATCAATATCATTACAAAGATTTCTTTTCCCTCAGCTATCAAGCCATAAAAAGGAATTTATCTAATCTTTCTAACCACTTTTGAAGTGATCGAAAATGGAATCTGATATTTCAATGATATTTAGGCTGATTTGGCATTAATTCTCAAACAAAACAAAAATCTCAAAACAAAAAGTGTATTGTTTTCTTTTCCGGTCAACTAYAWTATTATCTTAGTTTGGTGAAAATCACCAACRACAAGTTTGGATCAGAAAGAGAAGGTTGGGTGCTCAAGTCCTGTAGCCTACGTAACAGTCCCCATTGGGATGTCTAAATCAGAACACAAACCCCTTTAAAGAGAGTCTGCTAGGCTGGCTAGGACTCAACCCCCCAGCGGTTAAAAAATAGTTACTTCATTTGTCATCCAGCGGTTAAAATATAGTTACTTCATTCGTCATCCAGGGTCATTTTCTTCTCAGTTTCTTTGTAAAAGTGACTTCATCTTTGTTTGAAATTCCATATCTAAAAATAAAGTGATTTGAAACAGTCAGACAATCAGCCAG